GTTTCCCTTCCTCTCTCTCTCTCTTCCTCTTTATAGATTTTACTAATATATATATATATATATCGTTAAACGACCGAGTTTTATTCGAGTTCCTCGAAAGATGGATAATTGCGAATCGGATTTACGCACGATCGTCGTTATTCGTTCAATCAACGTCTTATTATTCGGTATTCCTTCTTTTCTGGATGGAGGGGAAATAAGATAAAATAAATCGATTTCGAATTTTCCTGGAATTATCGATCGTTTTATATATAAAAATATAATTTAGCCGGGAGAATATTTTCTCTTTTTCCTCAAATATTTCGTATTACCGTACGAAGAGATCGTACGTTTACTAATTAAGGGATTGTCGTTGCAATTCGGTTTAAGAATCATTCGGGGAAGGGATATATAAAGTTATAAAATATAGTTCCTCCCCTGTTAATTAACGCGAAACCTTATTTTTCTCGAGGCGAAAGAACGCGCATTTCTACGTCCAATTAGAACGTTTCGACGCGTAAACCGAATCGCCAACGACACTGCCAACATAAATTCTCGGGTGAAACGATAGTTTTTCGTTGAAAAAGTGTATCGTCTCTGCCTCAATTACATAAACATTTCTTAACCAATCGTCCAGCCTATTCGCCGCTTCATCCACGAACTTCTTTTCCCTTGAAATACAATTATCATATTTTGCACCGTGCACCTAATAGATCCTCTAAGAACATAAATATTTCCCCTATATTGGCAACTGTTGATCCATAATTGACTCGTCGATATATTCGACGAATGGCCGGAATTGTTATAGCTGGCGTGGATTTTCACGATCACTTTAAGCAGGGGAAGAATTGGTTCGTTACGCGTCGGTTGGCGTGGGCACCGTCAACAATTTAGCGAGCGGTTAACGAGCCGCTGTAATTAGCGCACCGGCCTCTGACAGTAATGAAGTCATTCGGTGGCCTTCGCCACTCGGTCGAAGCGTCGTGCGCGCGAGACCACCTCCCCTCTCCCTCCCTCCTCCCCTGGTTTCCCATTACCGATAGCTACGGCTTCTTTTTATTATTATTGTGTCGTTGTTTCGTCCTTGCCGCGACGACTACGACCACCGGGAGAGGGCGGGGGAAGGAATTTCTCGACTTAAATTGGCGGCGGGAGAAATTGACGCGAGAAAGGTGAACGAGATCGTCGTTCCAAGGGGATCCTGCGAAGGACGCGTGTATCTTGGATGATGAAGATGCTCGGGATGGTCGATCGAGCATCTTGAGGTTTTTTGCCTCGCGACTTGTTTCTCCTCTGTCGATCCTCGCTCGATCGATCGATCGATCGATCGATGCAAATGAACGAAGGGAGGAAGTTCGATCGATATTTGGTCGATATTTGAGAATTGGTGGGGGGTGTGAGCATTGAATTTATCCATTCGCGCTTCTTTTTTTTATCGTGAAGGATTTCGATCGATGCAAATGAACGAAGGGAGGGAGTTTGATCCCAGCTGCTGGTCGAGATTTGAGAATTGAAGAAGAATGGTGAAGGAATTATCTTTTGGACAACGTGAATAAGCTCGATCGATACGTAAATGAACGAAAGTAGAGTTTGATCCCAGATGTTGGTCGATATTTGAGAATTGAAGGAGGATATGAGCATTGATGATGGAATTTTTGGATAAACTCGATCGATGCAAATGAACGAAGGCAGAATTTGTTCCCAGGTGTTGGTCGATATTTGAGAATTGAAGAAGAATGGTGAAGGAATTATCTTTTGGACAACGTGAATAAGCTCGATCGATACGTAAATGAACGAAAGTAAAGTTTGATCCCAGATGTTGGTCGATGTTCCGATCGCGAAGGAATTGTCTTTCGGATAACGTTAAAACTGCATTAACGTAACGAGTCGAGACAAATACCGTGACGAATTCGCAGATGATCGTTGAAAAATGAATATGTAAAATTTGCAAAGGTGAAAGTGTACAAGAATACCGAAGCAAAAGTTCAACTCGTCTCGTCGAATCTACTTTGATCGTGCCAAAGTAACTGCTATTATGCACGAGAGATTACGAATAAACTTAAATTTTGATAATTTAATTATTCGAAACGCGATAATGATCGAGGTAAAGTTATACGAAAAGCGAATAATAGCCAGGAATAAATGTTAAAGCAACTTAAAATACCTGTGTTCGAAAATTTTGTTCCAACTAATTCGATCAACATCGAATTCCTTCGTCGAAAGCAAAGCTCTCAGATTCTCTCGTCTCGTTGAAACCGATAATCAGCGTTGTTGTGTCGGGCCACCACCGCGCGAATCTCTCGCGCTCTCAGCTCATAATTCCTCGTAAGAAGACGTTAATACGACGAGGCGTAAGGTTATTAACTCGACACCCACGCGAGCCTCCGCACTTTTCGATTCTCTCGAGCGCGCTTGCAAACCACCACCCCCGCGACAAGAAATTCCAAACTTTCGCGTAAGAGCTGGAACACGAGAAGAAAATAGCTAGACTCCTCGCTTCGATCGAGTGGAGACTTCGTTACGGAATAATTAAAATTCCATCTCGAGTCGAGCGTTATTTACGTCGAATTCTTTAACCTAGATGGAAATGGTGTTTTCCTGGTTGATTGACTTTGAAACGTCGAGAGGAGCAGTTGGTTACAACGCGCGGATCAACTCCCGTGATAAAGTAGAGGCGGGATGCGATGTTGGCAATGTTGCTCGGATCGGCGACGAGACAGCGGGAAACGTTGTTGATGCCTAGTTGGTTTCGAAGTTTCTTCTTCGTGCGGTTTTGCTTGCTCCTGGCTGGATTTATATATTGGGGAGTTGGCTTCTTTGTGCGTTTAGGAACGCGGAGGAATGCTCCCGTCTGAGATATTGGCGAGCGGGTGTAATTTGTTTTCCCTTCGACTCGGCTCGCGTTTACTCGCTGCTCGTGGAATGTGTGTTTCGCGTAACAATTGGTGGGGGGGGGGGAAGGATTTTAATAAAAAATTCTTGAACTCGTTCAGAGTTTGAAAGGATCTTGAGGCGAGGATTCATTCCTCTGATCGCGTGGATGATCGATCGCGAGGATTTACGAAGAAGGTGTTTCGAGAAATTCAAAATGATTGTCATTTATTGCGCGTGCGTGTAAAGGTATCGTCGCTATAAACTCGAACTGGTCGTCGAGAGATTCGAGCTTCCCTCCTAATTGAAAGTTACACCCGAGTCTTAGATACATTTTCCAGCGGACAAGATAATCGCGTCGCATCCGACACATTCGTATTCCCTGCCTTCGATTCTACATCTCGTTACAATGTTCCCGATAACGAATCTGGGGGAATCTTAATTACAGGCTCGTTAGTACGCGCGCGCTCCGCCGCAGCTCTGCCTTCGCTGAAATACACGCGATCCCAAGAACCGCCCGATTAAACTCGTTAGTTTCGCGAAAATTTCCTCGCGAGCGACAACAGCTCGTTCGTTAGACCAGCGTTTCTCAATCTGTCCGGATTGAATTGAATTTATAACCGAGCGAATGCTTCTTTCTACTCTTCTTTGCTGCGACGTGTTTTTTAATGACGAGTCCGGTTTTGTTATTCAACATGGCCGTTTCCCAATATTTCTCGAAAAAAATTAAGAGACATTCTTATAGATGAAGAGAAATGAATTTTCCATTTTCTGCTGTGATGTGTGTTGAGTTTTATCATTCCCAAAATTTTTCTCAGAAATATTCGTAAATAAATAATAGTTTAAGAAACATTGTTATGTGTGGATGGAGAAATTTTCTACTGCTTCTTCTCTTCTGCGACGCGTTGAAGTTTTCTAGTTTTCAAGATGGCCGTTTTCCAATATTTCTCCCCAACAAATTAAGAGACGTAGACGGAGAAATGAATTTTCTATTTTCTGCTTCTCTGCTGTGATGTCTTTCATATATTTTTCAGAAATATTCGCAAATAAATTAGATTAAGGAACATTGTTGTATAATGAAATGAATTTTCTACTAGTTTCTTCTCGTTTCCAAATATTTCTCAGAAAAATTCGCGGATAAACAGTGGATTAAGGTGGATAACATTGTTATATATGGATAGAAAAATGAATTTTCTACGCTTCTCTGCTATTCTGAATAACATTTCTGATTCGATCATTCAAGATGGACCAATATTTCTCGGAAAAATTCGCAAATGAACAATAGATCAAGGAACATTGTTACATACGGATAGAGAAATGAATTTTCTAGTTCTATCATTCAAGATGGCCGTCTACCTTTTCCCAATATTTCTCCGTGCTAAAAACTCCCATCGTGGATTTCAACTTGGACATGGATCTAAGGTAAATCTGATTCAAAAGATGACGCATAAACTAAACCAAGTCAGCGATGGGATCTAACATTTACTTAAAAACTCAAATTCTGAAATTTTCAACATTTCCTCCTCTTTCATTTGCCTTTGGTTTCGATGCTTCATCGTGAGTTCCAATAATTTCATTTCAATCCTTTCTCAAATTCTTTCATTTTAGAAATTTTGCAAAAATTACTCGAAAAAATTGAGAAACACTGGACAAGATCGGCGAACCCTTCTCGTTTGATGTACGACGTTAAACGCGAACGAGATCATAAAACCGAGATCACGAATAAATCTGGAATCGAGTCTAATGGGCAGGGACATTAGCATGTTCCACGCTGTTTGTATTCCACCTGCTATGAGATTATTTCCACGAGATTATAACGATCTCTTTAACGACCGCGAAAATTAATCGCAATTAATTTTACACCTTTGTAATGGCGTCCCCCGTTCGAGACGTAGCATCTATCGTATTCGATGCTAATTCAATACGCGGATCCTTCGTCCGATTAATCGTTGACACGCGTTTAATCGACGTTTTAATTTCGTTCCTTCTTTAAAACAGCTCGAAGGGGATGGGTACGCGCATATATAATATTTCCTGTGACAAGATTTCAAGAGATTTCTCAGAACTGTTACTTGAAAATACGGATCTCGAGCTGTTGGCAAAGAAATCAAGAGGAAGACCTCGAAAAATATCAATTATCCATAAACGCAGAAATGATAATTACGTAGAACCTGATATTACGGCTTAATTCCACGCTTTTTGCTCCCTGGAAAGCCTGTAATTTCCAAGGCGTAAAGATAGAAGTAATTATAGTAGAGTAGAAGAAAATTACGTGCGCGACAGTTAAAAAAATATATATATTAATTACAGCCTGAGGTGTGTAGGAACAAAAAAAAAAGAGAGAGAGAGAAAAAGAGATGGTCATCGATTTATTTATTTATTTTTTTTTTTAATTATTTCAATGATCGTATGGGAACGAGGAGAAAGTAGTAAAATAATATCGTTCTTCGATTTTTCCCCTCTAATTTAATTAAATAACTAATATAATCGTGGAAGGAAAATTGTGGCCGGGATCAGAGGCACCTTGGCGACCATTTATCCTAATAACGCTGGAAACCTACGCGGCTATTTCCTTCCCCGTCCACTTCCTCGCCACGCTTCTCCCATCCACGCGATATCGTGTTACCACCTCCGTTTAAACGAGTTTGAATTCACGAGCGAACCGGTGCGCGGATCGTTCAATTTCTCCTGAACGAAACACCATTTCCCCTACGATGCATCATCCTCCTCGGGACAGCGTTTCGCTGCTTCTTCTTCTTCTTCTTCTACTACGACTTCTCCCCTCAACGGCCACGGTGCGCGCTGCAGTCGCCGCACGTCTCTCGGTCGGCGCGAGAATTAATCGCCGGCAATAATTTTCAACGCGTGGGCGGCCATGAAAAACGAGAAACGGTGGATCGCCAATATTTCCGTTTCGAGGTTAACTAGCTTTCCATTATTTCCAATTATTCCTCCGATTCGTTATTTCGACTTTTTTTTTTATTTTCTTTTTTTTCGTTTT